CCCCAAAACCCCAAAACCCCAAAACCCCAAAACCCCTTAAGAATTGCCTGAAATTGAATTTTAACAGCTCCGGTAAGTAGGACGATTTGAAAAAGCTTTGAATCTGTGAACCTTCTGAATTTTCCCCTTGTACTCAATATCTCCATTCTTCTCATTTGCAATGATTTTATTAAGCGTGTTCTTTTGCTGAGCCTTGAACTATATCAGTTACATCAGAAATTTTTCCTGAATTATGTACAACTTATAAATTAAGAGTTAATAAGAGAAAGGAGAAATTCTTTTAATATCATCCTATTTGAGACTCACTCTTGCTTTATGCTTTGATGATGTTCCTAAGAGCCAGTAGTTTGCATTCACAAGAGTATTGTTTGTTCCTGCCCCTTTGACAATAAACCTGCTCAGTTCCTTCTTGGAAAACTCAAATGTGTCTGGAGCATCTACATGATTTAATGAATGGTTGATGTTTCCTTCAAGAATCAATGTTTTCTTGTTTTTCATTCTCTTTTCTTTGTTTATCATTTTCTGTTGATATCCATATTCTTCACTGTTAATGTCAGCTTGAGGATTCTTCAAATAAATTAGATGGAAAAAGAACAAAGTACCTCATCAGTTTGATCCTTGACAGTCTGAACTTTATACTTGACCAGTTCTTCTCAGGAAGTTTGTGAAGGAATACATTCTTGTTTGGCATAATCTTGCAACTTTTTCTTTGTTCTATTTTTCTTTTTCCTTTGACTCTTTTTATCAATCACTTCATAATGGGAATTATCAGTGTAAATTTCGATAGTAGGAATCTCAGATTGTTGATTATACTCTTTGATAATTTTTTGGTCATCTGGTATAAGCTTATGACCGCTCCACCAAGGAAAATACTTATGATTAATTTCTGCTTCTCAGATATAAGTGTTCATGGCAAAAGCAGTGTTCTTAGAAATCTTCTTGCTGGTCTTGTACTTCGACTCTCTTTTTACCATTGTGAATGATATTTATTAATCTCCAACTAATTTTTTAACTTTGCCATTCAATGTAGCCAATTAGAAGCGGGGTTTTGGGGTTTTGGGGTTTTGGGG